TAATGAAATGGAGATCTTTTTAAAGGTTAAAACATCATTTAATTTATGTCTTATAGGGTTTATACTGAGTACAATATTGTATAACTGTAGTAATTCAACTGCAAACCTAAAAGTTTACAGCCAGTTTTGAAAGAGGTGCATCTTAGCTCAGGAAATTGCTATTAAATATGTCAATGCTATTGTAATGAAATGCTTCTTCTAAGTATGTGGTTATTAAATAATTTTTAAAAAGTTATAGTGTTGAGTAACAACAAGCAGTTCCTGAAATAGGGTTCTGAGTCAGGTCTTGTTATTTGGCAATGGGCTGATGGGAACGAGGCATTCTAAGAATTTTTTGGAACGTTTTAAACTCCATACCAAATTATTATGGAGCTTGGTCTCAGTTAGAAGCTAATTTTTCATAGAATAAAATGTCACTAATAAATAGACAAACAGAAGGCCTACATGGATATTTTACACTAATAAAGGTTATATTTGTTTTTTAACTGTCTCAATATTCAAATTATACATAAAATAATTTTATTTCCCTCCTATTACAAAGTACTAAAGAACAAGAAACAAAACTGTTTGATCACTGAAATGATTATCTGTGCAGAAACGTGCTTGTCCTACTTTACAAGGTTCCCAGAATAACAATCCTCTGTAGTGTAAACAATAGGCAGTGGCGATGATAAAGAAGTGTAGTGAACACGCCATCCGTTTCTCCTCATAAGAACATGTGCCACCCTCCCGTCCCCTCTAGTGGTGTTCGGACAGTTTGCCTACTTCCAGACGGCCCTGAACGACTTGGCTGAGCTGTTTGATGGAACCCACCCTCAGGCCAGGCTTCTCAGCTCTCTTTCGGGGTCTCATTCAGGTAAAGCTTAAATGATTTTATCTTGAGTTCCATTAGATAGCTCCAGTGATTATTGTCAAACGTGTCCTTTAGTTCCTTTTTTTTTTTTTTCATTTCGATGAATGGGAAATTTATTCACCTAGGAGTTTGCAGGTGTGTTTAACAAAGGCTTATTTTAGAGAGATTTTTGGATGTGTTTTCTTCCTATTTTACCTGACTTTATCATTTTACTTACTAAGATTGCGGGAAAAAATTAGTCATCTTAAAATTGGATTTTATCAGAAAAAGAAGAGACAATAAAGAATTTTATTTTCTAATCTTTCTTTTTATCCTTCCTGAGGATAAAATCACCCATCATTTTTCCCTAAATAGTTCCAAACAAATATGTAACATATGCAGGAAACACCCATGGGCTTTGATTTCTTGCTGGTCCCCACAGATACTCAGATGCCCACATGCTGCTGGGCCAGCTCAGCTCTGTCCCTTTCCCCAGCCCTCGTGGTAGATAAACCCTTATTTGTACTATTAGAATCACCTTTTCAGCATTTGCTAAGTAAATTTTGGAAACTCTGATTTTACCCATCAAAGTTAATTGTATGCAGCACAGGCTTTGGTCCACGGAAGTTAAGATTTGCTTACTTCTGTTTGTCTCATTTCTGAATTCAGATCTCAGCCCTGTGGTTTTCTTTTTTAAAATATTTGAATTGATTCTGGAGAATTGACTATGATGCATGTTGATCACGCTCAGACCCCATCTCCATTTCTGCCCTGTCCTCCCACTTTGTGTCCTCCATTATTATTTGTCTTTTTTAAAAGGCCTATTGACGCCAATCTGTGTTCCCCAAAGGCTCTTGGGCGTGGATCCATCCCTTGGAGCCTGGCGGGCATCACACCCGTAAAGAAAGCTGACTCCCCCTCTCCCAGCAGCCATCACTTGGAACAGAGCCTCAGCCAGGGCTGGACCTTCCTGTCCATCTTCCCAGACATGCTGGGTTTTTGTGTGGCCTGCATAGGTCCTGTGCACGCTGTCGCAAGCACAGTGGGTTGACAGCTGTCACACACACAGTGGGTTCACAGCTGTCGCAAGCACAGTGGGTTGACAGCTGTCACACACACAGTGGGTTCACAGCTGTCGCAAGCACAGTGGGTTGACAGCTGTCACACACACAGTGGGTTCACAGCTGTCGCAAGCACAGTGGGTTGACAGCTGTCACACACACAGTGGGTTCACAGCTGTCACAAGCACAGTGGGTTCACAGCTGTCACACACACAGTGGGTTCACAGCTGTCGCAAGCACAGTGGGTTGACAGCTGTCACACACACAGTGGGTTCACAGCTGTCGCAAGCACAGTGGGTTGACAGCTGTCACACACACAGTGGGTTCACAGCTGTCACACGCACAGTGGGTTCACAGCTGTCACACGCACAGTGGGTTCACAGCTATCACACGCAGAGTGGGTTCACAGCTGTCACAAGCACAGTGGGTTCACAGCTCTCACAAGCACAGTGGGTTCACAGCTGTCACACGCACAGTGGGTTCACAGCTCTCACACGCACAGTGGGTTCACAGCTGTCACACGCACAGTGGGTTCACAGCTGTCACATGCACAGTGGGTTCACAGCTGTCACACGCACAGTGGGTTCACAGCTGTACCTACAGTGTCATACGTTGGCATGCCTACAGCTGCCTCTAACAGACACACAAGCTCTTCACACACAGTAACACCCTCCTCCAACAGTTTGTGGAGGTTCTCAGCACCCTACAGTGCCAGAGAGATGCTTCCCCAGGTGTTGTGTGTGCTCTCAAGGTTAAAAAGTTATCTCCAAAGGCCTTTTTTTCAATTCTTTAATGTTTTTCTAAATCAATTTCAGACTCTAAGAAAATTTTTTAATAACCATAATTTTAGTAAGTAATAATAAACTTGCCTGAAAATGTCTCATTCTCTACTTGGAACTTTTGTATTAGCAACTACAGGGACCACTGGTATTTCTGTCAAAAGACAACATTACATAAGAACTACAGTATGGCTTAATAGAATTCACAAGCAGGACAGCGTTTTACAGTATAAAAGCATACACTTGGGTCTTAAACCCCAAAATCAAGTTTTATTATTAAGTTTAGATGTTTATGGCCAACATTCAACTTAGTATTTATTTTGCAGAGTCCCGCCATCTGCCATCACCCCCTCAGAGCTGTGTGCCTTCCAGATCTAATCCATGGCCTCTCCTTTCATTTCTAGGTGAAACTCTCCCCCTGGCTACATCAAATCAAATTCTGCTTCGGTTCAGTGCTAAGAGCGGAGCATCTGCACGGGGCTTCCACTTCGTGTACCAAGGTGAGGCGCACCCAGCGTGCTGCACTGGACTCCTGACACCGGGCTTCCACATTTATGTTAGTGTAGCTCATCGAAATCTTCCTGAAAGATAAGCAGAGCTGGAAGCAGGAGCAGACCTCCTCTGCACTTAGTGGGAAGGAGTGTTCTCCTCACCAGCATGGGGCTCCTTTCCCCGACTGCCTCTCCTTTGACGTGGTGAAAGTTTAAAGCACAGTGATTTTGTATTTCTAAGGAATTCACATTTTGTAGCAAGAGCTTATAAAAGATATACTTTTTACCAAGAACATTCAACATCAAATTGTACATGTGATTCAATGGTAACAGTTTGTCTGGTTAGATTCCCCAACTCTCAGGAGAACACAATTGTGAGAGGTAGAAAATGTCCCTCAGTCACCAGAGATAGGAAGCATGTCCTCTGAGTTCCTTCATCTGTTGTTGCCCACCTCCTGCACAGGGGGCCTTGGAAGGCAGGCTGCACACACTCACCTCCTGCACAGGGGGCTGTGGAAGGCAGGCTGCACACACTCACCTCCGGCACAGGGGGCCGTGGAAGGCAGGCTGCACACACTCACCTCCTCACCTCCTGCACAGGGGGCCGTGGAAGGCAGGCTGCACACACTCACCTCCTCACCTCCTGCATAGGGGGCTGCACATACTCACCTGTGGCACAGGGGGCCGTGGCATGTGGCTCTCTGGCTGTCGCTGGTGATGGGGAAGGTTGAGTATTGGTTCTCTCACACTGTCTTTCACAGTATTTCAGTATAAGCATCTTCCCTTTCTCTGACAGTACTGTGTGCATACATCCCAGGATTGTCCGTTCTTCCCTGTAAGGCCCCAATGAGGCACATCCAGTCTCTGGCTCAGCTCAGTGATGTGCTATGAGGCTGTCCCCATGTCCCTCAGAAACCTCCAGCCGACCCTAACCCTGCTTACTTCTCCCTTGGCTGTTTACAGTTTTATTTCATGTGGTCTATGTGGTCTGACGCATGCAGTACCAGGCAGATAAGGATCACAGAGAACAGATCTCCCCAGTGCTGCAGGAGAGGGCAGGCACAGGAGGAGGCTTTCAGGACTGCAGGGAAGTCACCCAGGTCTGTACTCAGAAACCTCCAGCCGACCCTAACCCTGCTTACTTCTCCCTTGGCTGTTTACAGTTTTATTTCATGTGGTCTATGTGGTCTGACGCATGCAGTACCAGGCAGATAAGGATCACAGAGAACAGATCTCCCCAGTGCTGCAGGAGAGAGCAGGCACAGGAGGAGGCTTTCAGGACTGCAGGGAAGTCACCCAGGTCTGTGATCTGTTCTCAGAGGTCACCCAGGCCTGCGATCTGTTCTCACAGGTCACCCAGGCCTGCGATCTGTTCTCAGAGGTCACCCAGGCCTGTGATCTGCCCTCACAGGTCACCCAGGCCTGTGATCTGTTCTCAGAGGTCACCCAAGCCTGCGATCTGTTCTCACAGGTCACCCAGACCTGCGATCTGCCCTCACAGGTCACCCAGACCTGCGATCTGCCCTCACAGGTCACCCAGGCCTGCGATCTGTTCTCAGAGGTCACCCAGGCCTGCGATCTGTTCTCACAGGTCACCCAGGCCTGCGATCTGTTCTCAGACACTTACGATGTATCTTCCCTTTGCTTTCCACACTTCTGACTCTGAGAGATGTCTGACTGGGAGATGTATTTGTAACTGCATGTGGATGCCGTGTCACTCGTTTATAACAGTTGTCTTGAAAATAGACAACTATGGAATCCTTGAAGAAAGTTTCTGTAGTGACTTGTATGTAAGTGACACTCTGGGCTTCTCCTCAGGTTTGGGACCCAGAACGACAGCAGTTCCCTGAAATTATACAAGTGGCAGATGATGTAGGTGAAACTGCTCAGGAAAGTGGAAACTTTGCCAAATTGTGGATTCTTTCTATGTAACTCTGCATAAGCAGAAATATCACCCTTAGAGATATTCATTTTGTTAAAAATACTGTCACTGAAGCCAGGCGTGGTGGCACTGGGGTAATTATAGAGTCCCCCCGGGGCATCTGTTTTTACTTCCCTCATGCCACTATTCAGTCGTAACAAAATATGACCTATAGATAATGCAAATTTAATCAATAGTGTGTCATCCTGGAGTATGGCAGTTATTCTAAATTCCTCTATACTTATGCAAAAGATATACTCTGATATAACATTAATTTTTCAACTAGTGTTTAGATTGTTACCATGTAACTTGCATTCAGATAGAAAACATTGTAACATTGAATTGAATTCTAGTTTAATCAAAGTCATCTGACTTCTATACTATGGGGTTGATTTTTTAAATGATGTTTTTATTGCATTTATTTGTGTGTGTGTGTGTTTGAGAGAGAGAGTGAGAGAGAGAGACAGAGACAGAGAGAGAGAATGCTCATGTGGAGCCTGTGGCAGTCAATTTCCTTCTTCCTCCTTCCTGAGGATGCCAGGAATCAAACTTGACCATCAGTCTTGGTACCAAGTCATTTTACCTGCCGAGCCACCCCGTCATTCCCCGTGGGATTGCTTTTAAGAAGCGCTTACCTGAATGGTGTCTGCCATCGTTTGGATCCTACTGGAAGCAAAACACCATTGTTAGGAAAGCAGCCTGAAGGATTGTTTTAAGGAAGTTGTGCACATGAGTATGTCTTGAAGGACTGTACTTTGAATGAGGAAATGGCAGTCTGAAGAGAATGGGGTCCTAGAAACCACCTCACATCCTACCTTGAAGAGCAGAAGGCAGATAAAACATGCATGTTTCAGAGTGCCTAGCTATCTGTAGAGTTTGACTGCTGTGGCAAACTTCTCCACCTAAGACATGTATCCAACTTTGCCAGATTCCCTTTGAAAAGATAGAAAATGATCCCATAGCTGGTAATTTCTCATGGACAACCAAGTCAACGTCTGGCACCAACTTTACATGAAGATTCACCAATCCATGCCCACCACCCACAGATCTAAGACATCCCCAACATCTCAGGCTTTTATTTCCTATAACAAGGAGGTCCACACACCGTGGGAACCAAGGAGAGATGGGAGAGGGAGCCAGGAGGGCAGGTGATGAGACTTGGCTGTGTGACGCCACTCAGGAAGGCTGGGTAGCATGCTGTTCGGGGGGCCAGCTCATCCCTGGGCATTTTCATTTTCATGCAGGAGGTAGATGGGGCAGAATGGGATGAACACTCATGTATGGCTGAGCCTCCACTCACACTAGGTGGGGGCGTTGATCTTGCTGTGGCACCAGTTGTACCATCATGCTCTCTGTCACAGCATACATGCACAGCTGTCTCCCCAGGAAGGTGACTTGTGGTCAACAGGAGGACAGGTGACTCCTCGGGTCACCAAGGCTCTTAGTGTTCCTCTTCCTGTCATTCAGAAGGACTCCCTTGCCTGCCTGCAGGAGTGTTCTATTGATCGCTGTTCCTTGCTGCTTGACCTGGCCCTCTCCCTTTCTCTTCTCTGTTTCCAGAGCTCACAGAGATAGCATTTAATGACAGCAGATGTGGATGCAGCCATTTCCCTGGCTGCCCTACCAGGAGTCACTGTCCCACAAGGAGTCCCTGGGGAGCAAAGTGATGGTCTGGGTCTCGTCACCACCTCTGTGCCCAGCCCCAGAGCCCTGCTTTCTTCCCTTTCTCTCCCTATCAAGCCTTCATAGGCTTTCCTCTGGTCCTCTTGATAGATGGAATCATTGGCTGCAGAGGAAACCTTCCCTTCCTTCCCATATCTCTCCTGGTAGGATGAACATGTTAATTCAATGTGTCCCTTAGTGTTACCTGAGCCACTCACCCTAAAGCCTAGCCCTATCCTAATGCCCACATTAAAAGAAAACATCGTCTTGTACGGAGGAACAGGGATGTACATTTATTTATATTTTGTCCCCAGGTGAAATTCCTCATCTCTTTGACTTCCTTGAAGCAGAGTTAAGTCCTACAGCAAAGAACGAAAGCAGGAGCAGCATACATGTTAGCAGCCTCTCTCCTGGGACATGTATCTTACCTTGGGGGCCTCAGGGTTCCTCCAGGTTGGCCAGCTGCACTCTGTGTATGGGATGTTCTGGACGATTCCTACTTCCTAGGGCCTCCATTATAATTTCAGGTCATTGTCTTTCTGCACTGAGGGAGTGTGAGGTCCACCGTCTTAACAAACTTAAATACACAGTAGAACATTGCTGACTGAAGGCCCAGCATTCTACGACAGGTCTGCAGAACCTTCATCCACACAACTAACAGTCACACCCATTGCTTTGATGCTCCCTGCTTGCCCTTCCCAGCCCCTGATAGACACCACATTGCTCTAAGCTTCTCAGAGTTCAGATTCTTTAATTCCTCTGTGTAAGGGACTAGTGCAGCCTGTCTTCTGCCATGACTAACTCAATGTCCTTCAGATATATCCATGATGCTGCAAATGGCAAGATTTCCTTCATTGTAAAGGTTTAATAAAATTCCCTCAGATAAATGCATGGAGCACACATTCCTTAGCCAATAATCCTCCGAGGGACACTGTCCTAGTTAAGCTTTAACTGTCAACTTGACACAGGCTACAGACATCTGATGGGAGAGCCTCAATTGAGAAATTTTCTATATCAGATTGGACAGTGAACATGTCTGTGGGGGGTTGTCTTGATTATTAATTGATGTAGGGGGCCCAGCACACTAGGAAAGTACCACCCTGGGCAGGTGAATCTGGGCTGCATAGGAAAGCTAAACACAAGCCTATGTATGAGTGAGCCAGAAAGCAGGGTTCCTCCATGGTTTCTGCATCCGTCCGGTTCCTGCCCTGAGTTCCTGCCCTGACTTCCCTCAGTGATGAACTATGATCTGGAAGTGGAAGCCAAATAGACCCTCTCCCCATTAAGTTACTTTTGGTTAGAGTGTTTCACCACAGCAACAGAGTATCCAAAGCAGAACACCCTCTTAATTTGTTTGAGTATCTTGGTTTTGGTGTTTCTATGAGACTTTGAATTCTATTCTACTGGATAAATACCTTGAAATGGAATGTCTAGACCATGTGGTGGTACTCTTTTAAATTCTTTATCATTAATTACTTATTAGTTACTACTACACAAAGATTGTATCTAAATGAATGCTTAACAGAACTGATCTTCCCCAAGACTCAAATACGGCTGACGGGAAGTACAAGCTGTCATCCTACCTGATTAGCAGCACAGTCATTTGGTTTTTAATTAATTAGATTGCTTCAGTGCCAGTGGAATATCATAGACAGTAAGTTTCCTGCTCTCCTGTGTTGTTCATCTGAATGAGACATCTGTGTTGGTCCCCAGGGCCCTCACAGGACGAGGTACAGTCTTAGAAGTGCTCCTGGGTTTGCTCCCTACAGGGGTGGCAGGCTTCAGTGTCCACCCCTCATCCATCCCATTAGATCCCACTCTTTCCAAGACAGTGTCTCAGCGTCCCGAGAAGACACGACAGCTGTGTCATGTGCTTTCTCCCCAGCCGTCCCACGCACCAGCGACACTCAGTGCAGTTCTGTCCCAGAGCCCAGATATGGAAGGAGGATTGGTTCTGAGTTTTCCGCAGGTTCAATCGTTCGATTTGAGTGCAACCCAGGATACCTCCTTCAGGGTTCCACGGCCATCCGCTGCCAGTCTGTGCCGAATGCACTGGCTCAGTGGAACGACACCATCCCAAGCTGTGTAGGTAAGTGGGGCCCATGAGGCAATGTGAGTGCTTGGGATTGGGTCATAACCTCCCAGCAGGGTCAAAGCCGTGTCATCAGTCTTCACAAAATTGCCTTTGCTACGTGAAGAGCAATAAATTATATCAAATAACCCATTTGCACCAAACCTTAACAGTGTTTCCTAAGCATCAGGTTAATCCATTTCAAACATGCTTGACTTCCCGTGTTTGTTACCTCTGCCATTGGTTCTAAAGTTACAGAAACACAGCGTAACTTCATTTTGCAGGGAAAAAATCCTTTGGGATGTTGCTTGATGGCATCACCTGTGTAAGGCCTTTGTGCTGATGAGCCCGGAAGGCCTCTGGTTGCAGCAGGGCGACACCATACTTAATTACCATTATTTGCTTCCTTTTTCTGAGAAAACTGGTGCAACTAACAGTGTTTCCTAAGCATCAGGTTAATCCATTTCAAACATGCTTGACTTCTCGTGTTTGTTACCTCTGCCACTGGTTCTAAAGTTACAGAAACACAGCGTAACTTCATTTTGCAGGGAAAAATCCTTTGGGATGTTGCCTGATGGCATCACCTGTGTAAGGCCTTTGTGCTGATGAGCCCAGAAGGCCGCTGGTTGCAGCAGGGCGACGCCATACTTAATTACCATTATTTACTTCCTTTTTCTGAGAAAACTGGTGCAATTCTGATTAGCACTGAAAGTCATCTACACATTCTAAGTGTCTCTTCTCCCTGTCTTGCTCACAGACCCATTAGTATCACTCAGAGGGGCAGGTCTGTAGATGGAAAAGAACCTTCTACAAATATCCTCACATTAAAGTAGATGCAGTGTTCCAAGCAGAATGCATGGCAGAGACAGCTTTGGAACCTCACAGCGCTTCTTATAAAATCAACAGATTTGTAGACTGGAGGCCTGTAACTCAGTGACGTAACAGGTGTCTGTCATTCGATTCCACCTTGCCCGAAATACCATTGAAAGTAGCAGCAGACGTTTTTCTGCGGACCTCATCACAGAGAGAGGGAATCTGACTTCAGTCCTCACCTCATCTGGCGTCCTCCTAACATGGCTCTGTCTTCCAGTTCCATGCAGTGGTAATTTCACTCAGCGGAGAGGAACGATTCTGTCCCCAGGCTACCCTGAGCCCTATGGTAATAACTTGAACTGTGTGTGGAAGATCATAGTGACCGAGGGGTCAGGGATCCAGGTACGTCCTCAAGCCCAGGGCCCCTAAGGTGGCTCAAGTAGTGCCTGGGTTTCCTCCTTTCTGCCTTCCTCCCCCCCTTTCTCCTCTCCCTCCCTCCTGCCTTCTGGGCTTCCTTCTTCCCTCCCTCCCTCCATCCTTTCTAGTTCCCTTTGTACTGCTTTTCACCCTTTCTTCCTCCTTGTTTGTTTATCATTAGATGCTTGAGTTAGGATTCGGCACAATGGATTTTATGACCACATTTTTGACAATCGCTTATCTCGTGGCACTCCACTGCCCTCCGCTCCCCTCCACGTGCCCTGCACCCCTTTCCTGGTCCCTTTCTTTCTGGCTCAGATGCCTACCCCCATGCCACATGCACACAGATGGGAAACTGTCTCATCTTAGTAGTCCTATAAAATGTTTCTAACCATGTTTCTGTATGTCCTACTTTGTTTTCTGTTGTGATAAAACACTGCCCAAGACCAGTGCAGGGAGGAAAGGGTTTGTTTGGCTTACAGCACAGTCCATCTTGGAGGGACGCCAAGGCAGAAATGCAAGGCGGGAACCTGGAGGCAGGAGCTGAAGCACAGCCCACAGAGCTCACCGCTTTCTGGCCTGTGCTCAGCCTGCTTTCTTATACAACCCAGGCCCACCCGCCCACCCACAGAGGGCTGGGCCTGACTGACATCAATTCCCAATTAAGAAAATGCCTCTCACCACTGCCACAGGCCGATCCATGGAGACAGTGTTTCAGTTGAGGGCCCCTCTCCCTCTGCATGTCAAGTTCACAACTGTGGCTATCCAGCCCAGTGTAATAACACAATTGATGTTGAGGCTGGAGAGATGGCTTAGCAGTTAAGAGATGATTTGAGTTCCCAGTATCCAGACTGGGTGGCTCACAACTACTTGCAACTCCAACTCCAAGGGATCTGTTGCTTTCTTCTGGCCTCCATGGGCACATGCAGTTAGGTGCACATAGGACACCCCCCAACACACATATTCACACATAATTAAAAATAAAATCTTTAATAATAATCATAATTGATTTCTATAATTAAAACTATGGGAAGTTTTACTTGCAAAAATGTTCGTATGACCCATCATGGATTAGTTTCTTTCTTTTTGATATACATTTACCTTTTTAAGAATATTTTATCCAAACTGGACACAGTGACAGATGCCTTTAATCCCAGCACTCACAAGGCAGGAAGATCTCTGTGAGTTCAAGGCCAGCCTGGTCTACATAGTGAGTACCAGGCCAGCTGAGGATACAGGGAGACCCTGTCTCAAAAAAACCAAAAAAAAAAAAAAAAAACAGAAAAAGAGTATTTTATCTACTCATCTGTTGATGGACAAATAGAGTGATTCCATTTCCTTGCTATAGTGAATAGAGCGTCAGTAAACACAGGGTGCAGAGGTCTCTATGGTGGGGTCTGGAGTTCTCAAGGTGTGTGTCCACAAGTAAGACAGTTGTGTCATACAGTAGTGATGCTTTTAATTATTTGAGGAACTTCCAAACTGATTTCCACCCAGTACATATATGACATGGACTATTACTCAGATCAAAGAAAAATGGAATCACAAAATTTACAGGAAAATGGATGGATCTAGAATGTATAATGTGAAGTGAGGTTACCCAATTTTGAAAAGTAAAAGTTTACATGTATTATAGGCTAGGGTCTCCCTCATATGTGGATCCTAGGCCATAATATATAAACCTATATGAAAACACATCCATGTGCAGGTTTTTGATGTTAGAAAGGAGAATAAGAAAGGGTAATTTTTAAAGGACCTACTGATGAACTCACATATGTGTACACACATGTGCGCGTGTTTATGTGTGTATGTGTGTGTATTACAGTTTGTGTAAGATCTTTGAATCCTTTCTCAAGATATAACCCATTTTAACACAAAATAAGGCCTTAAATAGACATTGCCCACATGTGATTCCCTGAGGACCTGTTTACCTTACAGGGAAGTCTGAATTTTTTTATTCTTTGAATACTTATGTCCACTGTAGATTTTGTAAGTACTAATGAACTTAACTGAAAGTATCTCTATGAGTTCTTTGACAATTTCATGCATGTACACATATGTGTTAATCATGTCCACCTCAGCATCCCCTCCCACCTCCATGTCCTCTTTGTTGTGTGACGCACAGTCCAGGTTTTTGGTGTACAATTGTCCTGATCATGGAAAAGCACATGTGGTTAGATTAACGTGATTAAACAAAAACACAAACTCACCCTGCCTTGTGGTTTGCAGATTCAGGTCATCAGCTTTGCCACGGAGCAGAACTGGGACTCCCTGGAGATCCATGACGGAGGGGATGTGTCGGCCCCGAGACTGGGCAGCTTCTCAGGTAGGATGTGTGACACCTACACTCTGTTTATGAATCAGAGCTAAAGTCAAAGCAGATGCAGCCAATGGTCCCATGGACCTCGACCCGTGCCACATGTCTCCTCAGTGAGGAAGGTGCTAGAGAGCGACCACAGAGGCGGCCATCTGAAGGAGCCAGGCAGCCCAGAAGCTAGGGGTGCTGGTCACAATGCTGCCATGAACAGGGGACACCAATGACACAAATGGGAGGGGACGAGGCTGAGAGGAAGACATGGATCTGGACTCCGACCCAAGGGTGACCCTGTGCAGCGGGGCTTACTGAGCCTGTGATTACCTCTCTTCACTGTGAAAGAATGGTGGCAAAACTCAAGTCTGACGCCAGACATCCATGCTTACCAGGAAATGCAGTCCTTTCCTGTCCTTTCCAGTTTCACACGTGCATCTGTGTCGTCTAGTCACCTCTCACAGTGCCTAGTCCTCGCACATCAGACAACCAACGCCTGGCCTCACCCTCTTCCCCTTATCCTACAGCACCTCAGTGGCTGACACTCTGAGCATGTAGTCTAGGCTAACCTGTGTCTCTCATGGGTGCTCAATTGTATCTTGAAAGTAGCAGCATGGATTAAGTTCTGTTGCATCCCTTGGAGCAAGTTTCAGACATAAATTTTGTGCAATGGCACAAAAATTATCACTTGGATGTTTTTTAAAAGTTAAATCATTTCTTTTGTGTTCTCTTTGTACTTGATGGGCAAGGAGTGGAGAAGAGCCAGGCCTCCCACAGTGTCTGCCACACGTTTGGTTTTATCCCTTTAAATGATTCAGGGATCTTGTATTTAGTTGTCAGCGAATGAAAACATCTTTCATGGACAACCGTGTAGGTGTTGGGTAGTGAAACACCCAACACTGACTGCTACTGATTCCCACTGTATGTCTGCCGTTTGGTTCTCCACACCCTTGGAAATTTGATGGAAAATGACCCATCGCCAAGGAGCTTGACCTGGAATTTCTCTGCACAGGAAGCCTGGCTGACATCCCCACCAGGTGTTTCAGCTCCATTTACTAGGAGATCTATAGAAACTTTTAGTGTATATAAGAAATATTGTTCTAAATAAAGTATTAGGCCTCTATCATTAAAAACAGTGAGAGACTAGGTGTGGTGGTACACACCTTTAATCCCAGCACTACTAGGCAGAGACAGGTAGATCTCTGTGAATTCAAGGCCAGCCTGGTCTACCTAAAGAGTTCCAGGCCAGCTGAGGCTACAGGCAGACCCTGTCTCAAAAAGACCCAAAAAAAAAAGAAAAAAAGAAAAAAAGAAAAAAGAAAAAAGAAAAAAAGAACAATTTAAAATCTATTATTTATATCTATAGCCATTTTTAATTAAATATGTATGGTAGATGTCTATGACTTCTGGTGCTCTAAGAATCTAAGAAGATGAACGAACACTTTCCCATGCTGCAGATCTTCACTAATACACGGAACAGGATGACAGAAGATGGAAGTCCTTGGAAATAATAACATAAAGTCATAGATTGTGACCGAGCCTTAGTGAATGCCAAGCTTGTTGACAAAGTGTAGGTGAGACGACGTCACACTCATTGCAAAGCAGGAAAACAGCAGAGTGAGGGGCATGGCAGACCTCCCTTCTCCAAGGCCAGGCCCGGAGGTCGCTGCAGACCTCTGTTCTCCAAGTGCTGGAGCCTCAGCAGCAGGTCAGGAACAGGTCAGTCAGCATCGCTGCTCAGATCCCAGCTCTCAGAAAAGACATCAAACAAAACTTTGTGTCAAGCTAAACATGCTGCTCTACATATGTTCTCTGAACACTGCCACATGCAGCCAAAGTACTGACTGAGCACAGAGAGGAGGAGGTGTCCCCAGCTCTCACAGACCCGGGCAGCCAGAGCCCACCTGACACACAGCTGCCAGCAACCGCCTGTCCCAAGAGGAACACAGCGTCACACCAATATTCTTGCCTCAGATACCTAGTTTGAATAATGAAGAGCATCGAGCTCAAGTCAAAACCTGGCTTGTGTCCTTTTCTAAAGTGTCCAGATAAGAGTAAGGCAAAGACCAAGGGCCTCTTCTGCATGAAGGGTCCAGCCTCACTGTCCGCATGATCATGGCTACTGCGCTTTCTGTGAGAGTGTCACTGGCAGATGGTTGAATTCAGCTGAAGTCTGGGGCTCAGATGGTACCCTTGTATCCACGTTTGGCTGGATATTGAAATATTCACTAAATTTTTATGTGAAGTGAGTCGCCACAAATGCAGCTGGCTCAGAAACAGTGTAGAAGAGGGCTGTAATATTTGCATATATGCAATATGGATACGGGGAGATGGAACTGAATGAACTATCTGGAGACAAAGTTGATGTTAGACTTCTTAGACTATAATTGCAAATTTTCAGTAAGTTAGAAATCAGTTCAATTGTATGAGGAGAGTTTTAAGTGGATATAATCATATATCATTGTATTCTTGCATGACGTTCTCAAATAATAAAAAAGTAAGTAACAGGCAGAAAAAATGGCATATCAGCCCAAAAGTTTGAATGTTTTAGAGTACAATCAATATTTAAGCCTTTTCTTCCTATGATACTTAAAGATATTTACAAATCAGATGCTAAACCCATTTTAATTATTGAATCAAAACAAAAACAATGAGTCGTATAAGACATATATATTTCAGGAAAATATGACACCTTTAATAAATTCAATGTTTTGTTTTTCATTTCCACTTGGGCAGGAATATGTTGCAGATCTTTTTTGGTAAACTATTGAAAAGTCGTTTTTAGAAGCAGGCAGCCTATAAATTATAAATGAGTAAAACAGAGCAAAATGCATACAAATTTGTAGCTGTCAGTATTAAAGGGAATCGGATATTGTCATGTTGAGAGCAGAGGCTGAAGGGACAGTAATACAATTCTGCACTTTCTTTGTGAAGTGTCATCCTATTTAGGTCACAGTAAAACAGTATGATCAGAAATATTCTGCCTGTGACATTTTTTAAAAAATCACCTATTTTAATTTTGTGTGGAAAGAAATAAGCCCCTGATAGTAGACCACATTGGAAAGACCCAGAAGTTCACTCCAGGGCATGCCAGGTTGGGCAGACCCTCTGTTCTGAGGTGACTAGGAGCCAACATACACATGGACCTTCTGATGTATAAACACTGAATTATTCGATTTCATGACTGATGTAATAGAGGACTTTAATTCATGGATTTATTTGGCAGGATTATTTCTGAAGAGGACACAGAATTCACAAAGCAATTTACTATGCATAACTCCTTAGTACATTCGTGTGAAAGACTTGCATGGTGATATTCACATTGCAGAGTTAAAGTGTTCAAGCTTTGCAGGAGACATGGTATGATAAGGTCATAATTCTCAGGGCCTGGACTGGAAGCAAGTTTCGATTCTGCTGTGCAAACAGAAAGGTTAAATGATACATGTGTGCAAGTTCCTAACTGGGCTCCAGGGACTCCTGGGTTACTTTGTAAAGGAGCAACAATGGCCTGTACGTGCAAAACAAATTCCTGTTTGGATCCAGAACCATGAAGCACCCTGATCAGCTCGGTGGCCTCGTGGGCTTTCTGCAGGAAATGAGAACATAAAGCTTCCCAGTCCCTGCAGGAGCAGAGGTGCTGTGCTGGGTAGTTTTCATTGTCAACCTGACACAACCTAGAATCTCCTGGGAAGAGGGTCTCAGTGAGGAGCGATGTGGAGCAGGTCAGCCTGTGGGCATGTCTCGTTGGCATTGTATTGATTCGTTGATGGAGGTGGAAGGATTCAGCCTGAACGTGTGCAGCGTCACTTCATGGACTGGGCCCCGCCCTGCGCAAGGGTAGAAGAAGCAGCAGGCGAGGACCCGTGTGTTTCTCTCTCTGCTCTTGACTGTGAATGCGATGCTGTGAGTTCCTGTCTTGACGTCTCTAGAACGATGGACTGGAACCTGAAATCATAAAGCAAACGCCCTTAGCTGCTGTTTGCCAGGGTGCTTTGTCACAGTGCCAGAAATAGAACCATAGCACTTGGAAGAGATTTCTGTAGAAGTTGCAGGTGTTTAACAAGCCACGGAGTGGGCTCGGGTGCTGTCAGAGGCCCCCAGACACCAGGTAAAATCAGCAAAATGAGTCTGGACCGTGTAGCACGAACTCACTGGGTTGATGTTGTTAGCCATACAGTAAACCATTCTGCTTTATGCATTATCCAAATTACGGTGATTGTGCCAGAACTGAAAGGCAGCACATGCCATGCAGAGATGCTTTTGGTGAGTATCTTCCTTCTTGATGGATGCATGATCTGCAGGTAGACCATCAGCAAGGTGGTTCACACCCACCCTCCTTGCTTCTCTGCCAACCCCACCTCTCTGAGGACATGGGGTACCCTGCTGGATGCCTTGTGGCCCACACTTTGCTGAAGCTGGGCCAGGAGAGGGTGTTCACCCAGAGAGGACAGGCCTACAGATAATAGATAGCCCTACAGATAATTCTCCTTCAGCTGTTCAGTGTTAAAACTGATCATCTACCTAGCTGTTTGTATCTACCATGTATCTATCCATCTGTCCATCTATCTGTAATCTATAAACTCCAAGTCAAACGCAAAGGAGTTCCACCAGTGAGAGTTCTTTTGTCTATTCCTAATGAGCTTAGTGTTCTCATGGTGAATTTTGTCCTAGTCATTCAGCCCCACCTCCTGAAATCAACTGCCCTGAGCAGCTAGGGGATATGCTGGCAGCACAGACCCCAAAGCTCAAGGATCCACAGCTTTGCACCCACCTGAAGACACCACTCATCTCTATCCTTGGCCCTAAATTCAGCCTCTTGTCAGTGCACTAAGCTGTCATATCCTGCCACCTAATTTCATTTCCTTCAGAAGTTGTGCCCAGAAGCTCCCTAACCCTCTTCCCATCCATCCTCACGATCGATCTTCCACGCTGAGACTCACCCCAGCATCTCTGCATTCAGAGGCTGGAGATTTGGATGACCAGTGCTAAGAGAGGTTTATACAAGGCGGATCCTAGACCTGGCTGCCTCATGTGCTAAGACTAGGAAAGATATCTGTGAACAGGGTGAGTTAAGATCTTAGGGAGGCATCCTCGGACAAGAACATTGGCGCTTTTGATGCTGCTGATCTGAAGATGGAGCAAGACCTCTCCCTGACCCTGGCCTGCTATCTGGAATCTTCCATTGGATTTACAGAAGTTTACCAATAACTTGAACATGTCCCTTACCTAATAATGTTGGCTCATTGGCCAACTGAGACCAAAATTAAAAACGTGCTCTAAGGTGAACAGTAAGAAAAGTAGCTTAGAAAAGAGAACTCCACACACCTTATTTGTGTGTGTGTGTGTGTGTGTGTGTGTGTGTGTGGACTTCAGGAAGTTGGGCTGTTCCACCATCATTTCCCTCAGGGGAGTTGATGTCTGAGGGGGATGAATGATCAGTGCAGAATTCACTACTGGAATGTGGAATACACAGAAGAAAGCTTCTGGTGGAATTCCTTCACAGTTTGACTCTTCCCTATCGCGGAGTAATGCCAGAAACAACAGGAGTTTCCCAGCCATGCAGAATTGTGTACCCAGAGTTCACTGAAGTTGATTTAGAGTCTACAGAATAATGTATCATCCACGATTTATCCAGTTTGCAGTGTGTAGAATAAATGCATAGGAAGAGACACTGTTTGGAGATCTAGGCCAGAGGTGAAGGTCAGGGTGCTGGCTGCAGGGCACAGCAGCAGGTATTTTGTGTGGTAAGACTGGGCTCCTCATTCTAAGAACCCTCAGTGGAGGCTAGCAGTGTGGGGGAGCTGAACGTGCACCGGTCAGCCCCGACACTCAGAGTGAATAGGAGATGATCACACAAGCCGTAGGCACTTGCATGCCTAGGGTAGTGTCCTTGGCGTTCCGTGTATAGAAAGCCTGCTCGTTCCTTGTTAAAGCTGTAGCTCTTTCCACAGGGACCACGGTGCCTGCGCTGCTGAACAGCACCTCCAACCAGCTCTGCCTGCATTTCCAGTCTGACATCAGCGTCGCGGCTGCTGGATTTCACCTGGAATACAAAAGTAAGTCAGTTCTGCATGTGCCGGGACATGTGAGCAACTTTCTTAAAGGAATAAAAATCCCTGCTTTTATCAAAGGGTGAAATAGTGTTCTAAAACTCCGAGACGTGCATGAAATTGCGTCTTGCTAAGTCAAGGCTGTATGAAATACAATTTCTGAATAGGGAATGGAGACCTTAGTATCTGGAATAATTAGCTAAAATGGCTGTGTTCCTAGGGTGTTTGTGTTAAGAGTGAGTCAGCCATCTGTCATATGACTGGGTTCTTCATATGTGACAGCAGATACCCACAGCAGCCTCCAAAACTAGAGAACCATCATCCCATCCAGATAATGTCATGAAGCTTCCTTGCGGTGTCTCAATGGTGATAAATAAGAACCAGCCAAGCACAGTCACTTCAGGGCCCACATTTGTGGGTTATTCATTGTAATTGGAAAAAGGCTTCACAGAGGAGACCACAACCTTTTAAAATTGGATGTGAGGCTGCGTTAATAGTCTGATAAATAGGATGGCAAAGGTCAAATTCACAAATCCTCCAAAAAGGCTTCACAGAGGAGACCACAACCTTTTAAAATTGGATGTGAGGCTGTGTTAATAGTCTGATAAATAGGATGGCAAAGGTCAAATTCACAAATCCTCTCCAGTGTGGATGAGTCAGGTAAACCTTGTAAAAGTGAAGTATGAGCCTCCAGCGAAAGTGAGGTTTCTCGGGGCTGGAGAGATGGCTCAGCAGTTAAGAGCACTGACTGTTCTTGCAGAGGACCTGGGTTTGATTCCCAGCACCCACATCGTGGCTGACAACCATCTGTAACTCCAGTTCCAGGGGATCTGATGCCCTTTTCTGACCTCTGCTGGCACTGTACAACATGGGTGCACCTACCCACATGCAAGCAACACATCCATACACATTACATAAAAATAAATAAAATATTTTTAAAAAGTAAGATTTCCCTGGGTGCCTGTTTTCAGGCACTGAAAATGCTTGATGTTGGTATTCGTCTTTAATAAGCATTTGCAAGTAAGTAAATATATGGGTAAGCTTTAATAAGTGATTTTTAAAATTTTAAAATTGAAACAAACAGTTTGCTTGAGTGTAATGCATGTGTTTTTGAAAGGCCACATTCACATTCCAGCTAATAAATATACAACACCAGTCACCAACCACAGGCCTGCTTCACACTTGGCTTAAAGGACCCTACTTATTATAGGCATTTCTATGCACATGTATTCCAATTTATGCGACTAGGATTGCTCTAGTGACAGGGTAAAATGATCCTGCGGATGTTATTTATGTACGGATTCTTTTGGAACAATCAGCTACTTTGATACATTTTGTGAAGGTGCACAAATAGGAAATGTAAACCCTATTTATGATTGTGTCAATAAATCCATCAATGTTTCTCCATGTTCGAACTGACCATTGTTCAAACCCCTCTCAAAATTCTCTTCATGCCCCTGGCCTTTCCTTCGCTTTCTGTGGAAAGAAATGGTAACAGCACAATTAGTCTGTGACTATGGGGGAAATTGCTTTGCACATGGGCTTCAGATGCATAATTGTACACGTTTCACTTTGTTACTGTGATCCTCATGATTCTCGGACAGAGACCAGCTTCCTTCCTATTTCTCACTAAAAAGAGCCCTCTTCAAGAACCCAAGGCTCTGTGTGAGAATCCAGAGACATTCATTATTTAATGCATTTGCTCTTTCTTTGGGCAAAACCACACTTGAACCTGTACTGTTCTGAGTGGTTGTCTTTGAGGCTCACCTCAGTTCTGCCGTTTGACTATGAAGAGTCACCCAAGGCTTTAATTTTTTATCCCAGTTTGGAAAATTCCTATTACAAACTTTTTATAGAATCTGCCTTACTAATATCAGCATCAAGTCTTATTAGTAATGTTGATTTAAGTTGCCAAGAAACTCTAATATTTTGATCCATCACTACATTTAGTCACGGATCATATTACTATCCCAACTTTGTAAAATGTCTAAATTCATGTTTTTCAGTAAAATGCATATCCATGAAATGAAAAAGAAAGCGACTCCCAGCACGCACTCCATGCTGGGTTTGTCTCGGAGCCTGTCTGTCCTCAGGCAGCTCTGTATTTTTGAGGTGAAATAACAGCTCTGTTCATTGAGCTCCTCAGGCAGGACTCCCAGCTCCCGCCAGGAAAGGAAGGTCAAAGTTGTCCCTGTCGTCACATATCAGTGTGGACAGGAAGCACGTTGGGACCAAGCAGCCTGAGATCTCCAGATCTGACCCTGAGCCAGGTGACTGTTCAGCACCTGCCTCTGAAGGAATCTGGAGTTCATTGCAGATGAAGGCCAGGGTTTCTCAGTTCCACCAGGCCACCACTTCAAAAAGACAGAGCAGAACTGCTCAACCCAAACTTTTCTCATCTGGAGGGTTGATGAAAGCAGTTCCGAGAATGTTTGACTTAACATGCACAATCCAGATCCTGTGTGTTCACGTAACCTGGGAACACACACAGACAGACAGTGTCTCTGAGCCCTAAGGAACTGCTGTAGTGTCCCTAGAATACAAAACACACACTAAGATCAAGACACTCTGCCTTCTGTGACATACTATCGCCTCAATTGTAATAGAGTGGACCTGCTTAACCTTTTCCCTTGAGATCCCTCTTCACCCACAAAAATTTTACAGGATCTCAAGTGTATAGGTATATAAAATGTGCATACAAATCAAATGTTACTGATGATAAATCATGAATAAATTTGCTTGCAAATGATTCTTTGGCATATCTATCTGAAGTTACTCCCATAACTAATCTTGGCGTCAACTCCAGGGACCTAGGAAGAGGGAATCCCAGCTGTCCCCATAGCATTGACCTGTGGGCACGTCTCTGAGACATTATCTTGATTTCTGTTGAGGTAGGAGGGTCCCGTGCACTGTTAATGGCACCATTCCAAAAGAGGTTAGGTTGGGAAGTTTAAGAAAGTGAACCTAGGAGCAAGCTAAACAGTGCTCCTCTGGGGTTTCTGCCCGGAGTTCCTGCCTTGGCTTCCCTTGGTGGCGTTTGTAACCTGTAAGCTGAAATAAAACCTTTTCTCCCTGTGAGAAATGAAATCTGAGGTCCAAGGACTCCACAGGTACTCCACAACGAACACGTGGGCAAAACAAAACCAAAGCGGGCAGGCAGACTTCCCTTTTGCAAAAGGCTGTGTTGCACTGTTATTTAGACTAGTAAGCACTCCTGACCTGAAAATTTGATGGGTTTCAGTCCTAATGAAGAGTGCTGTCTTTTTTCCATTGGCTCAGGTCTAACCCCACAGTTGTTTCCTGTTGGCTACTTGGAAAAAATCAGTGCAAAGGAAGTGGAAAAATGGCTGACTAAAGATGGGAAGGGCTCCCCTGCCCCAGGCTGTCAGGTTCAGAAATCCATCAGGACCTTTTCTTAAACAAAAGCCTTATAGGGTGCGGTCTTGGACAAGATGAAAAGATTAGAATTCCTTGTCCTAAAGCAAAAATTTTAAAGAGTCTGAAACAAAAGACTAATATTCATTATTTCCTGTGAATGATGCCTCTGACTCCTTTAGTAACCCTTTCTTCAAACTCATTAGGAAGGCATTGGCTCTCTTTCTCTGTCATAGCTTAGAGTAGTAAACTGCTATGGGGAGGGACACTTGTTTGCTAATAGACGCCATAAGCCTCTGAGTTAGGCCTTTACAACATGGTATAATACAGGATCAAGATACCCATCATTCTTAACAAGGTTAGCATAGAACCCTTGAGACCTCTCCATTTTCCAAACCAGCCTTCCATGTCAGGAAATGGGTTGCTTAGTCTTGAAAATTTAGTTCCTTAGAAAGGGCCTTATGGTCTTGGAGAGCTTTAGTCATGATTCATTCGGAGCTGTGCTGTGGGAGATGAACAACCTTGTTCTTTCAGGCAAAATCATGTGTCACATTGACCTATTCTCCCAAGCCATTTTGCTGGTAGAGCTGAATGGGGATGTGGGATGTAGTAGTCAGGGTCCTCCTCAAGTAAGGCCCCAAAGTACATCAGTGGCTTTATTTGTATATATAATTTCTTCATGAAGGTAGGAAAGAAACCCTTGACTGGTGTCTAGAAAGAGATATGAGGGAGAAGAAAAGACAGGAGTTATTAGCATTATGAGTTCTAGGGAACCAGGAGAATTTCCTGAGAGACTCATGAGAGCATCTGTCCATCGGGGGCTTCCCTGCTTTTCTTTGGGCTTCCAAGGCTGGACTCGAGAGTGATGAACAATGATCTGCTTTCAGGCACTTTGATAGCTGTTCAAGTGGACAGAATCATGGTATGAGGTGCTGCCCACATGGTTTTTAGAGAGGGATCAATAGAAGAAATTCAGCCACCATTTAGTTTTCTATTAAAACAGTAGTGGGCCTCTCTCTCTCTCTCTCTCTCTCTCTCTCTCTCTCTCTCTCTGATGTAGGCAGGCTCTGCAGGGTTGAATTGAGTCAAGACCTGAAGTCTTGCTTCTGGAAGCATTTTTTTCTTATCAAGAAGAAAATCATTGGTGAGGAATGATTATCAAAATAATATCTCATATGAACTTAAGCCTAATCTAGGAGGTGTGAGCCTTGAACTCTTAAAGAAACACGCCGATCACTTTAGTCTCTATACTTTTTTGCTGGGGTTTAAGACCATGCCGTTGGCCAAATTGACCAGCTTCCTTTGACTTTCAAGGTCAGTTGAGGATGTGGCTTTGAGGTCTCAGGGGAGGGGCCTCGGGCTAATTTAGGCTTCATTTTACTTCTTGTCCCATCCACCTGAGAAAAAGTCAAAGGTCTTACTTGACTGTTGCTTTTCTTGGAAACATTGAAGATGAATTTTTTCCTTGTTGACCCTCCTCTTTGAATTGGACACAGTTTTATTTCACCTTTTGGGGTCTACATGGCCTCTATAAACAAGAGGACATGTGACTCGCCATAGTTACAGGACATTTTGAGAGATGCCCGACAGTCACCTGGGACCTAGGTGGACTTAAAGAATAACATAAAATA